ATTTACCAGCTTCTTTGTCAAGGAGCACAGCATCAAACCAGTCTAGGAGCTGACTAAGTGCTAGGGAGTTAGATTTATTCAATGTCCAGCAGATGACAGATATTTCCGCCCCGGGTGGATTATTTATTTGTTCAGGGCTGTTGGCATGCAGGGGTTCCTGACTGCTACAGGTAATTTTTAAAGCCTTGGTTTGCGAGAATATGAAAGGAGGCAGCGAGGCTTGGTGAACACGCACGGCTGGGAGCAAAAGGTCTCGCTCCGCTCCTTAAAATGCTCCTTGTATCTCCGGCGGAGGACCTTGAATGAAATCATTTATATTAGCTGCAATATCTGGCTGTCTCCACCGATCTCCACAATCAAACGCAAGAGATTTGGAGGGGAGAAGGAGCCGGGGTGGGGAAAAGAGCCTAGAATTAAAGCCTTGTTCTAATCCTGCTTTGATGCTTTTGCCAGGACAGGTTGGAATAGTCAAAAGCCCCAAACATTTTAGGTAGCTTTTCCTTTTTTTTCTCTGCTTTTTTTCTTTTTAATACTGTCAGTGGCTGTGGAGCAGCAAAGTGGTTATTAGCCTTATAAGGCACCAAGGTAAATATTTCAGATCCCCGGTGATTTTCAGTCTCTCCCGGCTYGGTTTATTTGTTCTTGTCAGTGGACAGTGAAGTTTTGTTTGTGGAAACCGGTCGGGGCGGAGAGTGACAGCGGCAGCGGCCGTGATTTATTCCCTGGGAGCCGCTGCTTCCCCCCGTCCTCTGCCCAGGGACACAGAGCCCCACGGGTCACCCCAGGCACCASCGACGGCGCCGGCGGGTTTTTACCACCGTCTCCAGGCCTGGCTGGTGCACGGGAGGGTTTGTGATGTCTCCGTCCCTCCTGGAGTGGGTTCTGCTCCCAGGGATGCTGAGATGCTCCCTAGGACCAGAGGATGGGCAGGGATGGGCAGGGATGGGCACAGGGACCACTGCAGCTGAGCAACTTGCTCCAGCGGCCCCCCAAATCAGCTGCAAAGCRTTGCAATGGTATTGCACAAAACTCCACATTTCTTCAGGTCCAAGGGTTGCTCCAATCCTCCTTGTCTTGATGTTTTGGAGAGGAAGTGGTGTTCAAAGCAGAGAGAGTGTCTTTGCAAAATAAAGAGAAAAAAATCYGCAACTTTCCTTTGCTTGGCCGTTTCTTTAGAACACAGGAGGGGGGTGATAGGAGCAGAGTTAAGGAAATCAGGCTGTTCAGCTTATTAAAAAGATCAAGCAGAGACTTGACTGTAGCATAGAAGTATTTTCATCGGGGAAAATAACAGATATTAAAGATCTCTTTAATCTGGTAATAGGGAGAGGACAGCTCTGTTCCAATTGCTGAAAGAAAGAGCCAGCAAATCCAACTTGGAAATGAGACATTTTGTTTAATTTCATTCCTCCTTTTTTTTTTTTTTAATTTACTTTATTACTTCCTTTTTTTTAAGCAGGAAGAAGGTTGAAGCACCATTATGTGGAAGACAAAGCTGAGCGAGAAGCCACATCCACAGGGCTGGGATCTGGAGCCCGTCTCAGCCAGCAGCACCATCCCATCAACGTCTGTAGGTGCCCTGTGGAAGCCCAGGAGAAAAAACCTCCTTAAGGGTGGCCTCATGTTTGAAACATCAAAYTGGTGCCTGACAGACCTGTCTTCTCATTGTAGGACAGAGCAGCAAGAGATTTTGCTGTATTTTTAATCCAGGCAGTGCTATAAGGTGGACAGTATCACAGGAGGAGGAAGAGGAGAGCACACGGAGAGGATCCCGGGTGGAATGCATGTGCCAGCATGATGGAAATGCAGAGATCAGCACGGATCCATCTGTAGGGYGACAAACAAACATGCAAAATCCTAGTGGGAGCAGCTGGAAGAAACCTGAATAAAAGTGTGGGGGGAAGCATGCACCAAAAACTGTCTCTGCACAGCTATGATGTCATTATCCAGATTTTCTTCCATTCAAAGACATAGTGCTGGCACTGCTTGGGGCACAAACCATGCTATCGTAATGCTGATATAATTCTGTGCAGAAATGTCCATTAACCAACCTGTCTTCCCCCAGGTGACCACAGTCTTGCTGGCTGGAATAGGAAAAAGGAAGGATATGAAGGACCCGGACTCTTCTTCTTTCATGTTTCCTTCATAATCCTCAGCAAATGTGTGGATTGGTTCATGCTCTTCTGCATTTTGCCCTTATTTTTTGTGTATTTATTTGTTTTCTTGATGTGCACAGCAAACAGGGAATACAGAAGGAAGCTTAAAGCTCAAAGCTTTGTCATCCAAAAACCACAGATGAATTATCCTTAACAGCATGTTCTGGAGGTTGAAATCTATACTTCACTCTGACATTTTAAGTGTACATCTCTTGAGCTGCTGCCATCTTTCTAGAGTGATTAGGTGCCTCCAAAAAGGCAAATATTTTTTCATACACTTCCCCTGAATTGGAGGCTCTGCTGCTGAAAAGACTTCAATAATCCCGGCTGTATTTATTTCCTAAAACCTCACTTATCATTGTCAAAATGTTATCAGCCATCCCCAGCTTTCTCTCCAGCCAGGAATCTAATTCCAATTATTTAAAAAAAAAAAAGAAAAAAAAATACTCTGAAAATGAATCTTCTGCAACRCGCTTTATTTTTCACATAAGACTTAATCAATTATTTGAAGGAATGTATTTTCTGCGTTAACTACAGCGCGGGACTGGACCTGCAGCACTGATGGGTCATGCCGAGCGTTGGGAAACGCGGGCGCGGGAAGCGCCTTCTCCACCCAGGACGTCCTGGAGAGAACAGCGGATGGGAAGCAGCCCGTTCCCGACCTCATAGCTGCCGGCAGAAATGAGGAATTTGGTTCTGCAGGCATATTGCTCCCCGCTCAAGAGTAACGGGGACGGATCTCACACGCTTGACCTGGCCAGCAGTGTGGGAACACAGCGCCTAGAAGAGACACGGTGGGATCAGGAGCTGCTGCATCCCTGWAAGATATTGGCCCAGTCATTAGAGCAATGGGAAAGGGAATGGGGCTTGGGAACTATCTCTTGGAAGAGCATTTTGTGCCGTGTGGGTAGTGATATGCCCTTTAATTCCCCTTGAACAGGAGAGCATCATCAAACGTAATTCCCTCCTTTATTTGCTGCCTCTAGCTGACATTTCGTGGTGATGCAGTAATAATCCCAGAGTATATTCCGGGAAATAACCTAGTAATCTGTTTTTATACAACACTGTCTGTTATTGCACCTGCCTGCGTGATGCTGAATAGAGATATTTTTATGCAAATGGCAGGATCAACRGGCCTTATCATATCAAAAGTGCTTGGCCTTCTGGTGAAATATGCAAACAGCATTTGTTTGCCTCCATCTAAACCAAGAGACTTTTGGTTGGTTGAACATCATCAGGTGCAAATCTACCAGGTGAGGAGGATCTGGGTGAGGCTTCCTAGCTGCTGCTTTGGGTGTCACCTTAAAGTAGACAGCTAGTGCTATCAAGTAGCTTTAATAATGAAGGTCTAATAGAGCTTATAAGGGGTCCCTGAGATGCTCTGGGAAGTTCTGGGTTTGCTGGTAGCTGGATGGCATCAAGGGCAGGTTTGGTGTGGCGAATTTGCAGTGACTTTCTGCAGCCTTTGCACCTGCACCCTGGACCTTCCTTGCCTGCAGCTCCCGGGGAAATGGAGCTGGAGACACACGGGAATTGAGTTAGCACATTCATACCTCAGGGAGGTTTGAGGAGTTCATGCCTGTTTTTACAGGGGGTTTCTTAGCCTACTTTGAACTACCTTAAAACAATAAAGTTCCCTTTTCAGCAGCTTGGTTTAATGGAAAGATATACTGTATTTTTATTCTTCTGCTGAAAAGTGATAATAAAGCCAAGTGCAGAAYCCACTGCCAAGAGGGAAGGTCTGTTCAGGGGAAATGAAGGGTCTAGTAGCATGCATACCACCTAGATGGCYTGATGGATGGGAGAGGTGGACAGTTCTATATGGATCACAGTTTGCTACATATAGGGCACATCTTTATCAAAAGCAAATGAAAATCTTTGGAAATTGCAGGAATGACATGCTGAAATTAAGATTTCAAAAATAAACAGTAAAAACAAAWTTTTTTCTCTTGGCACACAGCAGCAGCTGGTCTTAGTGCTTAGTGCTTTGTGAATGGGCATAAGGGTTTCCAAGGCAGAAAAATACAGTCGCAAAGCCTAATTTCACAGGCAAGTMTTCACAACGTCAAGTCAAGGAACCCATTAAGTTGCTACATGCTTTTTCTGCACTCTCCCCTCAAAAAAGTGTATAAAAGAAATGACCCATTTTATGAACTGCAGCTTTCAGATTTAGACTTTTTCATCCTCCACCCATATCGGAGTAGTTTTAACTTGCAGAAACTTCCACAACAACAGCAATGGTCTGGAGTATCCTTACAGAATATTCCTTGCCCACGTGGTGTTGAGGAAAAGGGGCAAAATAAGGCTGAAATTAGATTTGTTAATTTTTTGACAGGTTTTAACTAAGCACAGGGACAGGGAAGCTTTGCAAGAGAAATTTTAGAAGCCCAGGAGCCAAGGTATAATAAGCTGCCAGAGAAAAAGATCAAGTAGCCTTCTCTAATTCATCTAACCAACATCAATGTTCCTGCTAACAGTAGACAGTGTTAGCCAGATTCCTGCCCTTTTTATCTATGAAAAGCTACATTTATCAAAATAAGCAAAAAAATGTGAGGCATGGAATGCAGTTCATTGGAGGGCAGGGCTTTATGGGTTGATTGGTAAATYGAAACACATGGAAAAGTGCTGCACAGAGGAGCACACTGCTGACTGTATTACTCATTTTTTATTGGTTAATCTCTAATAAGAACCAGCTGGTAATAAAGAGCCGAGTTCATGGGAACCCACCCTTTGTTGAAAGCGAAGTTGGTGTCAATACTAGAAACACATGAGCGCAGAGAAAACAGATGTAATTGGCTTCTGGAGGTCAGGTTATGTAAAGACCCCCAGTGAACAGAGGTGAGGTTTAGGCTGCAGAAAAGGACAGGCTCAAATTGACGTTATTTCTGGGTTGGTAAGTGTGGGTGTTTCTGGAAGGGGTGGATGAAGCTGGGAATGGTGTTTTGAGGTGACTTGGCATTTGGAAAATTGGGAAGGAATCTCTTTAGGGAGGGAAACCTGTAGCTTGGCTTTAGTTGCAGGCTAAACTCTAAGTTTTAGGCTACACTCTGAGTTTTACATAAATTAATTGTTTTGGGTGGTATCGTGCAGTGATGGGACTGGCATCTGGCCTCGGATGTGCCTGGTGATTACAGCCCCTAAGAGAAGGGGCTGGAGCTTCAGTGCAGGTTTAAAGTTAAACGCCTGCAGYAATGTCCCCTTCTTCCCTCGGGACATAAAACTGCCTTGTTAGAACRTCAGCCCAATTTATAAAAGGAGCACAGAGGATTTTATTTATTTCTCTTACAGCAATTTTATGCATTGCAGAAAAAAATGTTAATGTAGCAGGTTGGAAGCATCAAAATGGCAATGCTCTGGGTTTTATCAATGCAGACATTAATGAGGCATTTAAGTTCAACCCTGTCTTCCTTGCACGAAAGTGATCTTTTTAAGAGCACCCTGAAAGGCAGCGGACCTGCTCCTTCACCAGGACTTCCAGGATTTTTCTATAACAAGATGTTGAATGAAGGATTCATGCAAGCAGTGTAGGYAGCAAATGAATTTGCAGGCGTAGTTTTCGTTCAGATTTATTTGCCAAAAATATATCGGAGTGAGGATYGCTCTGCAGCGGCTGTTTGAAATCCAAGTGTTGTAGGTGACACTTGAGCAGTCGCGTGGCTCTGCCCTGTCTGGCTCCCTGTAATGCTCAGAATCAGGATTCTGCTATGAATATTTGTGGTTTGGAGTTCAAACTTCACTTTCTTCCAGCATTCCCCAATGCAGGGGTCGAGCGCACCCCTTCCTGCCCAGGGCTCCTTCGCTGCCGTATTTCCTTGGAGAAAAAGCAAAGAGATCCATGTGCAACCCAGGCTGGGCATGGACCTGTCTAGTGATGTCCCTCTGCATTGCAGCAGAGCAAGTGCAGGACAAACCTTGGCTTAATTCGCATTTTCACAAACAGTGTCCGAAATTCCCAGGAGCATCCAAGAACAGTTATTTTTCTTTTTATTGTGCCAAAGACAGAGAAAGAAAGGTCACAACAGAGTGAGATGATCTCTACCTATCACATGGAGGAACAAGAAACATTGGSATGCATCTGTTGTTTTTCTTAAAGCACCTAGAAGAAGGAACAGATAGCCTATAAACTGCTTTTTAAAATCTACTTTTGTTCCACATTCAGGGAAGGATTTTTCTCCTTGAGCAAAGACACAAGGGGAGGTTTTCAGAAGTGTTTGCAGTTATTTTTAGAAGTTATTTTTAAAGTTAGCTTAATGCCTTAATACCTTTCAAGAAGTGATGGTTACCAAAAGAGGGGAGAGGGGGTGAAAAAAGTCTGGGAAAGAATTATTAACACAAAATTCAATAACATCCCCCTCGCTTTCTCCACGGTATTGCCTGAGTGACTGCAGCATTTACAAAAGGGATTCTAATCTGAAATGAATTTGCAGCTAATTCAACCTGTAGGCTAGTGACTCTGGGATTTCCTAGATAATACAATCCAGACAGTAATGTTGATGGATGTTAAAGCCTCGACTGTGTAGCTGTTGTAAAGCTCTGTCATAAGAACAAATGAGGCATTATTGCTTTAACAAAAGTAATCCCACCGCACCCGTAAATTCTGYACCCTTTCCATATCGCACCATTATTGGTTACAGTGACTTGGTGATGTATCTTCCTTCAAAAGGGCAGCGAACACACAAGGCTTTGCCACGYGAGGCACTCCTTGCAAATGGTGTTTTTGCTGTTCGTTTGCACATAGGGTGAATTCGGTGCTGCAGAACAGGTTTTCTTACCTAGACCTGGGAGAAATGCAGCCAGGTCCAAATAGCTGCTACTGGGGCGTCAGAGGCTAAAAAAGCAGATGATGATTTTGTTGCTTCTTATTCATTCCTGTGAGGAGYGTAAGGGGCATGAAAGTATAAATAAATATATATGTATATATGTATTGTAGCCTTAAGCAGCTAAAAGAGCGTTTTATATTTGGAAAACACTGGGTAAAAATGGTTTAGTGGCTACATACTTTCCTAAAGGCTTCTATTGAAGCCACAGATACTTGGCTAACCTGGACTAGGCTCTTTTCTGCATTCACCCTAGAGCTAATGTGTTTTATGGATTTTGATTTCTGGACCAAGCCTCAGTTACAACATCCAGAATTCCATCCTTTTCTTCATTCTTTTTATAAAATGACCAACCTGCCTTTTACATTCTCAGGCATCCATGTTACCAAAAATTGCACTCTCTGTCCATAGTCTATTTTCTTCAGTCAGTATCTTAGTCATCCTCTCGCATATCTGCTCATCTTYCTCAGAGAGGAGCCAAAATAACTCTCCACTTTGGTGGGAAGGAAGCATTGACCAATGGTGGGAAAGAAAGGACTGTTACATTTACACACATTTTACTTATCAAGTCCTGCTGTGATGTTACTGCTAAAGCTCTCCTTGTAAACTTTGAAAACCTCTTTTGCAGATAGTTGCAGCATTAGGAATACCATTTTTCATGTCCGGTGGTCTTTCTGGTCCTAATACTTTCCAGGCTTCCTTCTTGCATCCTGGAAAACAGCTGATGGACTTCAGAATTCTGACCAATCACCCATTCATTAAATCCTGTTGGCTTTTTATTCACCTCAGCTTTTCTTAAGGAATCATTCTAGCTATAGCAGAAACCAGAGATGACCTAACCTTGCTTTACGTGAATTCTCCTGGCAGAAGAGGCCAGTCAAGAGGTTCAAAATGCTTGTAGGGTGTTGAGAATGGATTTAATTGCAGAGTGTTCCAGGAGCACTAACGGAGGCAGAGGACAGAGTTTGGTACACAGTGTGAAAAGCCAACCTTGTGCTCTGCTTCTCAGCTGCAATATGGTCCAGCTGGGACCAGAGCTCAGCTTCGAGTGATTTTGTGTCCATTGGCTGTAGCAAGAGCCAGAAGAGCTGGTGGTGGGACCAGTTCCTCCAGCTTCCCTGTCTGTATCAATGACTTGGCTGGGCAAAGTGAACGCAGYCCTCAATGTGAGTAACTCTGTGGTTTGAAAAATAATAACAATGTTGGAGTATTGAGGAAATATCACACTTATTATGAGTCTACCTCAAGCCTGCCTTTCTGCCAGAGGTTAATGAGGAGAGGGCTGCAAGGGAATCTATGAGGGGAGGGTGACAGGCACCTGATCTGCCATGATTAATTTGACAAATGTCTTCCTGGCTTCCATCCAGTTCCTCGTGGAGATACAGCTCTTGGACGTGTTCAAAACGACCTACGTTTCACTGCTGGCCAGGGTTTTGCTGCTTTGTTGTTATTGTTGGACTTTGCTGCTGCTTTTGTACTATTATGCATGAGATTTTTGTCCTGTGGCTGATCGCTGTCCCTGTTGTGTTTGAGTTACTGGGCTTTGCAGGTTGTGTACATGCTGCTAGTGATAAGGAAGAATTGTATTTTGAGGGATCGAGGCTCTCTCAAGGTTTTGTAGCATTTTCTGCTTTTCCCAGTGCTGTGCTTGCTAAGTCAGCCCTATGCACAGCTCCATCAGCCCTATGCACAGCTCCAACAGCCTGCTCTGACACGGCTGGTCCTAGCATGAGGTAGGTAGATGGATGATGTTCACACCAGTGCAAGATAACAAGTGAATGAGGATTAAGCCCAGTCAAAACTTCTGAGGACCTTGGCCTGGGACCTGTGGTCTAATGGATGAGCAGAACATGGCCAGGACAGATGTCCTCCTGGGCTCATCATCCGTCATCTCCTGGGCTAGAGTGACTCACAGTTGCCTTGGATCTGCCATGCTCCTGGAGAGGAGAGCAAGCATCTTGCTTGGACCAGCTTGGGTAATCTCTGATAACCTGGCCATGCCATGTTGCTGTCTCATACTGTTAGAAACGTAATGTTGGAGATGATGACTTTGCAGTTTGCTCTCACCTGCTGTTGCCCTTCAGGACTAGGTAGGTGATGCATACGTGTCCCCAGGGGGACATACCCTGTACCTGACATATCTCTGCAAAGCACACTGCTCTTCCCTTTGCATTTGAGCTATGCTTAGTAAAACCTGGCGTCTCCGGGGTTCAGGACTTACCTGCATGGATTTCCATCTTACTAAACACCCACAAATGCGTACAAAACTTGCTCTGCAATCACTTGCAGCAGAGCATTAGCAGGCAGCAGCAAGCACAACTCATTTAAGAGCTGACAGACAAGTTTACAGTTCTGTTAATCCAGAAAAAATCCTGGGTAACAAGTGGATTTTATGACCATTGAGAAAATGGAAAACATAACCCAAATGATAGATGAATTAATGCATTTAATGGTGATTTTTTTTTTTGTTGTTGGATGTGCTATTTCCATTTTTACTAGGGGAACAGCTCACTATTTATCTCTAAATACAAGCATGAAAGAAAGGCAGAGGTCTGGATATGTCTCTTCATTAGTCCAGCAATGTGGTGGTTGTTTAGTCATGTTTGAAATAATATTTTCTTCAAACGCTGTGTTTGCCAAATGCAAAGTGAGCTGACACCAACTTGGCTACAGCTGGGGTCACATATAAAGCAGTGCCTAAACCGAACAAATATTTCCAATCAAAAAAAAAAAGGAAGAAAAAAAAAAAGAAAATCATTAACCTTTTGTCATTAGCATTAGCCGTTCTTTGAGCCGCTCAGCAGTTTGAATTAGTGCACCTGCCAAAATAAGCACCGAGTGTTGTTACCCTCTTAGGGACAGCCCTGTTCCATAAATCACAGCTTTTCAATGACAGCTAAATGTGTTTTATATCATATAGAGAGCCTGTGTTTATGAATGTGAGATAAAAGGGGTTTAACCAGTGCAAACACTAAGACTACTGTATGCAGTCTGGCTCTCTTTCRTGATTATTTTTTTTCCTCCTTTTCTTAAATGTGATTTCTATTGCCTATGCACATGCCTATCTCTGAATTTTCTGGCAGTTTTGTCTGCAATTGATCTTCCTTTCAATTCTTTCTGTCTCGGAGCACAGCGCTGACTGTATTTAATCCCTGTAAGTGCCCAGCTGGAAGAAAAGGGGATTTGAAGGAATAAATACTTTGCAAGTACTTTGGGCCTTCTGCTAAGACAAGAAAGCACTTATTGGTTTGCTGGTTTGTAAATGAATGTGTGTGTTGCGGAATGAACTCTGTCTTTCACACCTTGCAAAAATCCTGATAAATCCACTGTTTCCATGATCATCCTGAAGTCTGATATTTCTTGCCTCGCAGCTGTGAGCTGCAGGATCCAGGAGACTGCAATGAGATGGGCTGTAAAAAAGGTGAAAGTCTCCCTGTTTTTTCTACTTGTAAAAGTAAATAGGGAAGGGGCAAAAAAAAAAAAAAAAAAGATTGCACATCCTGGGATTTATTTTGAGCCCATAGTTTGATTCCCAGGTTGACTTTGGGCTTCTCTTTTTGAAACCCCATGTGTTCACGATCTCTCTTTTCACACTCCACACTGCTCGTGGAAATGTACCACTATGGATGGACCTGGGAAAACACAGCTTTTTAATTCTTAACTCTTTAGGCTTAATTCTTCACTCTGTCCACAGAGAGCTTCCTGTATGACTTCTCTTAAGAATAAATCCTKTATGTATGAGAAGAACAAGCAAAATTACATGCCCTTTTGTGTACACGCAGGTAATTTGCTTCATTACAGTAATCAAATTTTATGCAAGATGTTATCAAGTTTCCCAACTGCACAAAGAAGCAATTACCTTTTGGGAATTTGAAATTTAGATTAGCAATGTCCTGAAAATGTCTAGAGACCCTGACACGTCACAGTGAGGAGATCATTGTCAGTGTCTAGTCTTGGCCATTGCCATCCCAAAGCATCTTTAAATAGTACATACTATGGTAAAAGTATAACCCAACTGCTTTCCTGTTTCTTCCTGTGATTAAAAAATTCACCTGCATAACCCTGACATCAATTGCTTCTTGCTCCAAGGCTAGCACTGCTGTAAAATGAAATGATTAATAGAAGTTTAAAATTACTTTTCAAATTATATATTTTTTTTAACTAACCAGCTCGGTTTCAATTTATCCTTGGGAGCTGTGCCCTGTGAAATTACAGTTTGAGCAACCCCTGGCCACTCTCAATTAAGATATTGACAATAAATGCGAAAAAACAACAAAATGAAGGGTTTGTGGGTAGTCCCTGCAGTTCATGATAGTGCAACCACTGAGTCATTATTTATAAAGAGTCGCTATGTAAATATATGAGAACACTGTAATTTTCACTCGTAGTTCAGCACTCTTTTCAAAGGCCTGTAATTTATTTTAACAGAATTTAAATGCCTTGGAAAAGCATCTTGAGRGTCCGCACGCAGAAACCACTTGCTGTCTATGGCAGGAAGCAATCTGCATGGATGTCTCCCTGAATTCGTTCCAGAACATTACATTGAACCGAAATGATTGAACGATTCACTTCCATTGCAGTGAAAGTAAATGAATAAAAAAGGTCAGATAGGAGTCAGAGATCAAGCTCAATACTGAAGTGCTGAAGAGTAGAATTAGTCTAAAATGTGGAAGGCATTTTTTTCCATCAAGATTGTGTGTGTGAGTTTGATAAAATTTGATCAACCCCTTCCAAAAATGGAGTTTTACTGTTGAATTTTGCATTCAGCAGTTTTGCTGTTGAATTCCAGTGTTTCGGTGAAATTTGGCTGTCTCTCGTGTTAGCCACAACCTGTATTTGGAGGTATTTAGAGTGTGAGCTTCAGATGTGCTCCACACCTGGACTGAAAAAGGATCCAGAAGGGCCAGGATCCCGAAAAAAAGTATGGTGGCCAGCAGGTTGGAAACAGCCTGTTTGCTCTTTTCACATAAAATTTTCTGTGAGCCACAGGGCTGTCACTGAATGGCTGGTTTCCCGTTCCAAGGAGCGTGTTCCTGGGTGCAGGCACTGCTATGCTTTGCATGGAGAATCCGGTTGTGTCCAGAGCACGTTCGCCCTRGGAAAGTGGGCACGAAAGCCAATTCCTACAAGAAAATGTCACCCAGCTGAACTGTCCCAAAGCAACAGGGGCTTTTCGGCACCCTGTGTTTATCAATGACTTCTGCTCTTGAGCTCAACCATCTCCATGAGCCGGGGGAAAGTTTCTCCCCTTGATGGAGCGCTGCTCTCAGCTCGGCCGGATGAAGTCTGCTTCTCATCGGAAAAGCTTGCGGCAAGCGAGGAAACTTGGGACCCGTGCCCAGGCCTCCTGGGCAAATTCCTTGCCACCTCAGATGGTAATTCCTAGAAACTCTATTGTCAAGGAGCCTCGAGAGCTCTGCTGCGCTTGGAGCGGGCTCGGCGCTCTGCTGCAGTCGTTTGGACCGGCTCCGTGTTGCTGCAATCCCAACACAATGACAGGAAACGTTTCGGCGCTTGCCATGTTATTTTATTTTAATGCTCGTATTGTCTGAGCGTTAATGAAACTGGAAGCTGTGACATAATTGAAGCCATTCTTCCTACAGAGAAGATGACTGCCCAAGATAGTGGCGAGAGGAGCAGGCTCGCGTGTTGCCCGGAGAAGAGGGCTTGCTCCTCTTGCCAAGGCACAGCATACACGTGCCTCGTTTTATAGCCTTGTGCATCAGAAGAGCTCCAGTTGAGAGCTGGAGACTTCTAACACCTCTGGATACAGAGCTACAAGGAATTTTTGCTATAAGATTATCCTCCTTGGCCAAGGAATAACCTGTTCTCAGGTTTTTTTTCTGATTGACTTGAGGTTTCACTCATTTTTTTCAACTGCTTGAAAAGTTTCTATATGCTCTTCTAATGCTGCAGTTTCAGTGCAAATCGCATGTTCTCACCTTCTTACCCTTTGGGCTTGCTGTTGAATYCTGTTCCTTCCTCACGTTTGAGAATGTAGCCATTTTGCTGTGTTCTCGTCCCAAATCTTTGCTCAGATGTAAACAACTGCCTTTGCTAGTCAGCTACAGTCTGCTCTGACCTTGGTTTTAGGGATTACAGATATTTTGGAGGGCRGTCATAAACGTGGCTTAGGAGCTGGAAGATGGTTTTATCCTTGGTTAAAAACCTATAATGAAGCAGCATGTGACTTTTTAAACCCCCTTAAGAGGCAGCCTCCTTGGTGGGGAAACCAAAGGGATCCAAGTGTTCCTCCTGACTTCACTGTGAACTATTTGCAGCAAAAGGTTACAAAATTGGAAGTGGGGGAAAGATCAAAGGTTAAGGAGCTCACATTTCTACATAACATGACCTTATCTTGGTGGCAACTCAATTCTCATGGTCCGCTGCTGCGTTCTCACAAAGACAAGTCTTCTAACGAYGCAGCAGAGCAGTTTTGCAAGGAAAACAGGAGACTGCACTCACAGCAATTCCTTTGAAAGATTTGCCTGCTTGGGAGTTACAAGATACTGTACTTAAAATGTCAAATCAAGCAATCTGTTCTGAAAGGAAAATTACCAAAGCAATCACCGAGCTTGATTTCCTCTAGACTCATGGAATACAGGCAAAATTATGAAAATCGCTTGGCCACCCAGAGCCTTAACGCTGAAGTCCCAGGTCAAGGAAAGCTCAAGCAATTAGCCTGCTGTGCTAATGACATGCCCGTTTGATATAGTAGCTGAACAGCACCCTGATTGCCTATAATATGATTATGCACATTTGGGGTTGCTTTGAAAAAAATTTGATGCCTTGGAAAAATAGAACCTCATTTCTTTGGCATTTCTGAGAGACCTCTGTTTCCTGAAAAGCCAAGGGCATATTCCAGCTCCTTATGTTTCCACAAATATATTATTAGATTCACTCGCTGACCTGCCAGTAATGAGTAGAAGATGTCACTGTTGCGAAGGATGTTAAAATACAGTAGCATGAAAATGTAGCCCCATCACAGAGCTGTCGCGATTCATGGGGCCCGTTTGTGTGCATGGCCTGTTGCAGAATTTCAGGAGGTGAAAGAAATTGCTCCACGTTGGATATGCCAAAGCTGAGCTTATTTATTATGAGAAAAATAGCTTTACTACTAAGAAAATTGCTCCCTTTCCCTTAAACGGAACCCAAATTCTGAACTGATTCATCATTTTTTGAAAGCTCAAATCTATTTTAAATCTTTTTTCTTCATATGTGACTCTTCTTTCTGAATGGAACAGAAAACAACTGTAGCATTGAACAGGGCAGAATTACATTTAAACTTTCTGACCATTCTCCATCCTAATGAGAACCTCCTCAAGGTCGGCCTTAGCKCCCCTACCAGAAAGTACCTGCCAGTCTGCTGTGGACATACAAAAATCCCTGATTTAGAGAAATAGAAAAAAGAAAAGATGTTTTTGAGACAATCCARTTTGCTGTGTACATACAAAAATCCCCAATTTAGAGAAAAAGAAAAAAGAAAAGGYGTTTTTGAGAAGATCTAGTCTCTTTGTGCATATGAGCACAAATGATGCTTCTCTGGGGATGAGTCCAGAGGACACCTGAGCATGCACCATTCCCAGGCCAGAAGCTTATTTACTGCCGTTACATAGAATTAATGTCACCGGTAAAATAACCCGGAAACTTGAGCACAAACAGCAGCTTGAGCTCTTCGGGATTTTTGCAGGACTTGGGGACAAAGAAGCCTGTGACACAGCCAAGGCGAGAGCACCACAAATGTGAGATGGAAAAAAAAAAAAAAAAAAAGTGGGAATGGAAAAAATCTCAAACCTAATTCAATATTTGGTTTGGGAGGTGATCTGGCTTCTTTTAATCTAGAGCTGTTTGCACACGCCGACCAGTGGGACCATCACTCTCTTCAGCTGCGCCATAAAGCCGGGCTTGTAGTGATTTGGGCGAGACCAGAGTGGTTACCTACACCTCCTGAGCGCTGGCTCTGCAAGCAGGTCGGGGTCCTCTATTTTGGGGCATTTCATCTTTTTTTTTTTTTTTTTTTTTTTCTGACTTTATGTCCCTGACAGTCTAATCTCAGGCATCACTATTTATTGACATTAAAAAAAAGAAAATCCCCTCTTTAGAAAGAGGAAAAGGAACTCCAGAAGTGATTAATGCCATAGGTCCTGTGTACAATGACTGCCTGTTTCTCATAAATGCCCCGATGAGATTTAAAGCTGATACTTTTTGGTTTCCCAAGGAGAGGAGTGRGAGCTTGGGAAAGCTCCTGACCATCTTCATACATATTCAGGGTTTCTCTTTGTTTTTTGATGAAGGGATAGGCTCTGTCCTTAGACTTTTGAACGGCCCCTTGACACCAACCCTGGAGATTTTTTTTTTTTAATTAGTCTTGCCTGGAAGGSTTTGGATTTGGATCTAGTACTGACAGTTTAGCCCCTTGGTTTAGAAGGGATTTAAACCTGAAAGGAAGTGGAAATCTTATATAAATTCACTTTTGCGATTTGAAAGGTTTTTCTTCCCAAACACTTCCCTTCTTTCCATTTCTTCCCTTGAGTCCGTTGCTCCTGGAGGTTTCCAACAGACTTGGTTAGAAAGGAGGCAAGGGGCAGAAAACCACCAGCAAAAAAAACCCACCCCACCAAGCAGCAGCCTCCCCAGGAAAGGTCTCGCCAGCCCATTAGTAAAGATCTCTTGGGAAAAGGCTTCCCAAGCCGCTCAGATCTTGAAGGAGAACCAAAACAGTGGAGACAAAAGGAGAATCAGTCAAACCTCAAACTGAACTTTAATAAGAGAAATAAGCCAGCAAGGCTAATCGAAAACATAAGGAATTCTAGGCATTGCTGCTCTTTTTCGTTCTCTGTGGCTAAGTGCAGAAATGACCCAAACTTCATTTCTTTATTACTATAAGAATAAGAATGGCCACTGTTCATCAGGAGAAAAGACTGCAGCTGCTTCCTAATTTTACAGGCACGTTTCAAAGTCTGCTTTCCCATTTTTAATCTTGCAAGGGGAGAAGAAAACAAAGCTGACGCTGTGAAGAGGTTGCAACTAATGCACATTTGTGCACGGTGCTCACTACCACAAAGAGCAGGGGATCTGTAAATATTTACTGAGTTTTAATACCCTGCCCTTATCTAATATGTTCAGAAAAATAAACTAGAAATATGTTACTGGGAGCATGTTTACATGTTTTACATGTTCTGGTCCTCCTCCTTCAAACTTGGACTCAATCATTGGTGTGCTACAGAAGGATTATTTGCAAACCAGACTAGCAAAACATGAGCTCAAGAGGCTCGGCTGCAATTTGTCTAATGCAACATGCCTTGTAATTATTTTGTCCTTCCCCTGCTTTTGACTTTCTGACTCTTCATTCACTCAGTACCCAAGGGATGTGCAGCATTATCTCTGCACATCAATATTTTTCATGCAACATGTGTTCTTAGTTTGCAGCAGACTCATTGCTCATYGTTTAAATGTACCAAAAAATACTCTAATAAAAACTGATGCTTATGTCCCTTCAACACCAGA